TTTTTTTTTAAAACCACAAACAAGTTCATTAATCATATAACCACACAAACAGTTATTTTTCTATCAAAATCACAATTCTTAAGTGTATAATAAATTAAAAACAACAAATAAAAGAAAGAATAACAAAAAATGTCTTGAACGAGAATCTGAGACTTATCGAAAGAGAAGAAAAAGAGGCGATTTAGGTAGAAATTAATATACTAACAGATAAAGGCAACTGTCGATTCATTCAAAATGATAGACAAGCATCAAATGTTAAGGAAATGAGAGTTTATGTTACGGTTTTTGAAATTTTGGACGTGATTTGCTGATGTATTTTGGAATAATTTTAGTGTAGTTTAAAAATCAGATGAGGGCATATGTTGTAAACTTTTTAAATCATAGGTCAATAATGATGAAACTAATTTATTTTTTATGATTATTTCAATAGAGTGGCTGTAATTTGTATTGTTAAATTGGTATTTTTCTAAAAAGTAAAAACCGTAAAAATTTTAAGCTAATAAAATTAATGTTTTAATTAAAAATTTTTAAAACGGTTTGGTTCGATTTTGTACGATTTTTGAAAATAAAAACCTAAATCAAACCATTTTGAAACGGTTTGAGGGAAAAAAACCAAGGGTCCAAATTGACCCAAACCAACGGTTTCAACTCGATGGTTTCGGTTCGGTTTGCAATTTCGTGATTTTGTTGTGCAGCCCTAACGTGAGGAGCATGTTTTCCCTAAAATTCAAATTTCTGTCAAGCCATTATGTACAAAAGGCATTAGTGCTTGAGTTTATATGTAATGCAAGTGACTAGGTAGTGGGAACAATATTAGACCAGTGCATAGATACAGTACTTTGTCAGTCGAACTTTTATCAATGTTCAACTAAACTATGCCACTATTGAGAAGATACTAGTTGTGGTATTTGCCTTTGACAATTTTTTATTTAATCTCATTGGATCGAAGGTAATTGTGTATACTGAACACTTAGCTCTATATACTTGCTTGCCAAAAAGGACGCAACAACAAGGTTAATTCATCGGTTGCTACTTCTTTACGAATTTGACTTAGAGATTTGGAACAAGAAAGGATGTGAAAATTTGATAGCACTTCACTTATCTTCATTGGAGTAGCTTGAATGGATAGAAGAAAAGGATATTAGTAAGCAATTCCCAGATGAATGGGTTGTAGAGGTAATCAAGTGGAAAATGAAAAGGACACACCATATATGTTAACTATACGGACTACCTAACCAGTGATATAGCACCGACAAATTATGGCATCATCAAAAAGAAAATCTAATATGAGATAAAGTACTACTTTTGGGAGTACCATATTCTATGTAGAATGGGTATTGATATGTGATTAAAAGATGTTTACCAGGGCACGAGATGACAATTATCTATTAGTAATGTCATGATTCACCCTATAGAGAATATTTCGTGACTATCAAAATTGCAACCAACATGCTACAATCTAACTTTCATTTACCTACACTATTTAAGGATGCCCACATCTTTGTTTTGAAGTTTTATACATGTCACACGATAAAAAATTTCTCAAGAAGGCATGAGATGCCTTCAAACAGCATTCTTGAAATGGAATTTTCCGATGTTTGAGGTATTAATTTCATGATCCTTTTCCATCATCATTCTCCTTTCTTTATATACTTGTATAGTGGATTGTGTCTCTAAATAGATCAAGACTATGGCATTACCTACCAATAATGTCCGAGTGGTTGGGAATTTTCTCAAAAAGATCAATGTTAACTTTTTTCGTCTCTAGCCATTCTAAATGGAGGAAAGCATTTTGCAGCAAGTAATTTCAGGCTCTTTTGGCTAAAGATGGTGTGAAACACTTAATTGCTACTCCATATCACCTCAAGCAAGTAGTCAAATTGAAATCTCCAATTGGCAACTAAAATTGAATTTTGAATTAGCCGTTAGTGCTTCAAGGAAGGATTGGTTTAAAAAGCCTAATGATGAGGTATGAGCTTATTGCACGGTTTTCAAGTCTCTTATAGGTATGTCTCTACCAAACAACTACAGTTGAATGAGATGGATGAATTCCAATTTGATGCGTACTAGAATGTCAAATTATAGAACCAAAAAGTGGAATAATCAACAAATTCTAATAAAGAAGTGGTAAGGAAATGCCATATTATATTTATTTTGTTGAAAATTATAATTTTTTATTTAAGTTTTGCAATAAACCCACAAAATTAAACTGACCCGATCTTTTGAGTTGTTAAGAGATCCTAACCCAATCGATTTGTTACATAAGGAAAAAAAAAAAAAAAAACTCCCAATCTAATCGGTTTGATTTGATTTGGATTAATCAGTTTTTGAATTAGACTATTCAGACTCGCTCAATTATTTGAAGTTGTACTTATGTGACTCAGCTTAGCTTCCGAGATCAATCGGAACTGAGTCAAATGGTAACAAGTTTGCTCTTTAGGTAGCACTTTTAAATAAGCTTAAAAATAAATATATACATATGAGCAGCTTTTGTTGAATGCAATGTCAACTTGCTCTCTCCCATAAACAAAAAGGGTAAGTGGACATGATTACTGCATAATGTAGTCAAGATAGTCCTACTTCTTTTTCACACAAATTAATAAAATTTAATTAATATAGTTGAAATAATAAATATTACTATTATCTTTTTAATATATCCTTACTTTAATGCAATCAATATTTAAGGTAATTAAATTATATTTGTGATAATAAAACACATTAAAGAGGGCATATTAGGAAACTAATATATCAATTACACTTTCAAATAAGAAAAATTTGGGACAGACGAAAAAGAAAAACATAACTATTTTTAAAGAACGGGTGGAATATAAAAAAAATGAAATAATATAGAGGTGTAAATCGAGTAAGTGGGGTCAGCTCGACCAGGAAAAAAAAAAGTTTAGTTTTGTTCAATATTTTATTTATACACACTATTTATAAAGTTATGAACCTAGATATGAGATACGGACAAGACATAATAGCCTAGTTCTGATATTGAATTTTAAAAGTAAAAGTTTTTGAATTTGATCAGTGACCGAAAATATGCATATAATAAGTATATAACAAAAGTTCAGGATGAAGTTCTTCAAATTTTCTCAAATTAACTCTATTTTTAACATAAAGATTTCATAATCTATTTATTTATTTATTTTTGTATTTACGAATTTATTAAATGGGAACATATCAAGTTCATGGTGTCAAGAAGTNATTTCATAATCTATTTATTTATTTATTTTTGTATTTACGAATTTATTAAATGGGAACATATCAAGTTCATGGTGTCAAGAAGTGTTGCAAAGTAAAAGAAATATAAAAACCGTAGAATATAAGTTCACCGATCAAAACTTAAAAATATGAGAGATTATATGTCGTACAGTGCTAGTTTCTCGACTCTCAACGTGCTCGAGAGATAGGTAGTATATTTAAACTTTAGGCATCATAAAACATGAGATGATTCTAACACAAACGTTTATAAAATAAGAAACGAGTAAATATCAATAGTATCATTAAAAAATATAATTTCTTGGCTCAAATCCATGTATCTTCAACGCTAATTTCATAATTTCATCCTTATTTTGTCTCATAAAAATTGTATAAAATAAACTAGACGAATACTTATTGATCGAGTTGGTCAAGACTCGAGATTAATCAATTACATTTCTTTAATTCATTGCTCGTCTAAATTTTTGCTTTCTTTAACAATTCTCTATTTATTCAAAGAATGAAAAATGTAATAAATTGATGTGCACATAGGAACAATTACCCTGAAATATTTTTATTTTTGGTAAATTTATTGTTGGCTAGAAGAACATTTTTTATTCTCATTCCGTGCAGTTTTTCACTATTTCTAAATTTTTATAAGCGTAACTCTTACATTTTTCGCATAATATAAAATTCTTTCAAAGTGAGAGACACTTACATTGAACAAAAAATTTCAAAGACCTTTTTAAGGCCTAGTTAAAAGTTCAAAGGCTTCCCAAACCCATTACCAAGTACTTAGATTACTTTGACATCCAAATCACACTAAGCCAAACTATAGATACACACCTTTACTTCTCTTATCGAGATTTGTCCTTGTGTCTATATGCTATGAATAATATTGAACTTTTCGGAATGAAAGACCACAAATGTTGAAATGCATGAATGTATGAGCAAGGTATTTTGATTTGTTGATGTTAAAAATTAAAACCTCTTTACTCTTTTTTAGTCTTTGTACAGCCTATTCGATTTTCCTGCTAAATAAACTTGATCTTACTTGTCATCTCTTCTAATACACTCATCACACAATATCATGATCACTCTATTTATGATCGCTTCTTTAACTCAATTGCACAATACACTCTAAATCATTAAATTTATGTTAAATAATTAATTGCATTTCTTGTAATTTCATTATATGAGAAATCATCTCTTAGATAAATATTAGTAACATGACATATCAAATAATTGATAAATCATTTAAATGCTAAAATTTACCATGAATTATTCACCAAAGTAATAATGTTTAAGCGATCATTTCTCTCCATTTTATTTTTATTAAATCATACACAAATTATGGACAAATCATTAGGTCCAGTGGCCGTAATAAATACTGCATTATTATATAACACGTGCAATAATAAAAAATTCAACAATACTAAGGTCAAAAAATCAAACCAACAATAATGGAGGCATTTTTTATAACCAAAAATGATGTCGGTCAAACTTGTGCACCAGAACGTAGTGTGTAATAAAACGCCGTCGCTTCACGAGAACTAAAACTCTGAACTTGCTCATTCAAGGTCTCTTTCTCTTTCCCATTGGCCTTGAACATGGCCTCTTGGCAACTTGTATACAATTTACTATATATATAACACCAAAGTTGGTAACATTTTCATCTTATTTTTTCAAGATTTTACTTTAATTTTTCAATTGTTCATATCTTATAAATAAGGTAACGAGAATGGACTCGTATTCCGATTCATTTTAATCTTCGTCTTCTTCTTATTCTTCGTGTGCAGATAAGATTTTTTCGTACCAAGAAGAAGAAAAGAAAGGCAAACGTACCTTGAGTTTTTGTTCTACACTCCATCCTGATCGTCAACTTCCAATGAAGCCGATGAAGAAACCAATAGCACCTTCGCCACCAACTCCACCAAGAATCTACAAGGTGAATCCTGTTAATTTTAAAAAGGTTGTTCAGAAGCTTACTAGTGCAACGGAGTTCCGTTTAACACGGCTGCAGGAGGTGGCACCGCCACCTCTCAGCCTCTCTCCACCATGGCAGCAACTACTAGTTCATCCTAATGAAGTTACAACGCCATCAGGTTCCAAATTCAGCGATTTTATGATCGAAACAGATGAGAAAAAGGTTGTGAAGCCATTAGATTATAGTTTTGGAGCCCTTACTCCTCCTGGGTTCAATTTTTCACCATCTTCTCTTGCATGGTTTTCATCTTTGCTTTATAGTCCACGAACTCCTCCTCCTCTCAAGTCAAGTGCGGTTCTTTAGGGACATCTTCGGTAAGATGGATTTAATTCTACTAATACAATGTTAAAGGCAAAATGAAGTTCTCTACAATGTTATCTATATGTATTCAGTATTAGACTATGTTGAGGGCGCCATATGATTTTAAATTATCTTTTCATTGTGGAGAAATCATTCGTTATAAAAGTACACAACGTACTTGCTATTTATATTTGTTATTTAGATAGCGTTATTCATCGCTTAGTCATCAGTATAGACAACAGTGAGTCTTCTCATATATTGAAAATGATTCAGAATTTGGAAAACTTCTGCTTCCTTAACTGATAATAAACACCACTTACGATAAATAACATTACTTTGTATAATTTTTGCAACCATTCATTGAGAATTGGTTTATATTTCATATTAATGGATTTTTGTGAGGTTCAATTTATTATTTTCATCAAAATTTCACATGAACGCTAATTTCATAAATCTGCCTAGAATGGCAGATAGTATGCACCTATTGAGCCCCACTTTTTTCCAAAAAAATGTATTTTGGAATATTATTTTGTTGGAGAATGCGAAAAAATAGGAAGTTTTTGAATTTGGGTGCAATATTATTTTATCGAATAATGTGTGATTGAAAATAAAAGAGAAAAAAAAAATGTGTTTTGAAAAATCATGGGTACCGAACAAGGTTATATTGAATAATATTATCTAGAAGTCTAAACTTTAAACATGGTGTTATTATACAAGATATTGAAGGGAAATTATACTTGACATTAAGAAGGAATGAACATATCACTCGAGAACGCCTTCATCGACGTTGTTTTTCGACCGGAAGACCGCCGCTCCATCGAAAATTCCCTCTGTCCCTACCGAACTTCAGCTTGATAGTTTTCACCGCCTTTTCCAAGGAATCCAAAAAATGGAAAAATTGGTCAATTTCTAAAAAAAAAAATTAATTGGCCCAGAGATATCAAAAGAAAAAAGAAGGGATTTTTTTTTATTTTGTAGTGGCTTAGACAAATCTTTTTTGTCGATAACCTCAAACGAATTTTTTTTCATAAAATCTCGTCTGTACAATGCTCAAGCTCTCGGCTGAGTAGCAGGAGCAACTTTTAATTTATTATGAGCCCAAACGACTATTCTTTTTTTGTTTTTGTTGACCTTCGAAGGCATTTCGGGAATTGGCCCTCTCCTTCTTCAAACTCCGATTCGTATTTTTCGAGCATGTTTGGCTATGGTTTAAAAAAGTAAAAGTTATTTTCAACCTTTTTAGTAATTTTTGTTTCTAACAGTTTTGCTTAATTAATTTTTTCTCATATTTATATAAAAGAATTTACTTTTTTTTACATAACTTTCAGCATACTTGGGAATAAATACCTACTTTTCAACTTTCATCCATAAAAAATTATTTATTTTAAAATTTATTTAAATACTTAAAGGCAAACTTTTAAGCTATACTCTTATTAATAACGGCATACAGATCGACTAGAGGAAAAACGGCGCCGAAGGTCCCGAACCTATAAATGATAAATAAATGGATTTTAACACACTTTTCTTAGTATTTGGATCTCCAACATTTCATGTAATGTCAATTGAGTCTACTGACGAATTTCATATAAATTGCCCATTAACTTGTAATTTGATGATTGGCAAACTAAACAATAGTCGACTAGGGACGCAAAAATCCCGATCCTGTTCCGTTCCGTGAAAAGAAAAAATAAAAATAATAATAAAATTAAAAAAATAAAATGGGACGACAAAGGGGGCAAGCTGCCGTCCCGCCCGTTGCCATCACTAAGTTGACGGGAAAAGATGGTAAGGCAAAAAAGTAAACAAATAAATAAGAAACATAAACAAAAGAAAAGAAAGGAGTAGGAGGGAAAAGACAAAGTTGCCCTTCTAACATTATGAAAGTAGAAAGAACTGAACTGCCAGAGAAATTATTGGACTCAGCTACTCATTTATGGATCTGTGGCTGACATCTGACTTTTTTACTTAAGATTATAATTAATAAATTTTGACATCAAATAAGCAAAATAATTGGTTCTTACAGCTTTCATCATTATCATTGACTTCTCGTGACAATTATTACACACTCCTTCCGTCCTAATTATATATGCTTGTTTCTTTTTTACACGGATTAAGAAATCTTCTTTAATGTAATTGAAAAATTAATTTTTGTTAAAATCTTTTCTAATTTACCCCTAGTTAATTTTCAGTATGTAGTAATAAATTATTATTGAATTTAGTAAAGAATTTGAATAATTTAATTTGAAGAAGAACAAATGAAAATCGTTCCATATTTTCAAGAAGCAGGAAATATGTGTATTTGAATGATTTCATCAAGTTGCCATATTTAGTGAAAAAATTGAATAAGGGTATATTAGTAAATGAACAAAACAAAATATTTTAAATTGGGAAATAGACATATATATTTGTGATATGAGAAAAATGAAACTCAACCTATATAATTGGGACGACGAGAGTACTTTTAATTTAAAATTAATGTACATTTTGAAGAATTAAGTAGGGTTGTAAACAAAAATCACCAAACCAAAAAATCGAACCAAAATCGCATTTCATAAATCGTCGATTTGGTGCCATGTGGACCCAGTCAACGAAATGGTTTTGACCCAAACCAAACCGGTCAAAATGGTTTGATTTAGGTTTGAGAATTTTAATTGCGGTTAAAAATCAAATCGGACTGGCGAAAAAATATATAAATATAAAAAAAATGAAAAAATGATTTTTTTTGAAAATTCATCCAAATATGTAAAATTCAGTAGTTTTGTCATTTGTAGGTATTTTTGTTAATTTCTAATTTTTTAATACAGATATATTATTATCCTATAATCCCAATATATATCTAATAATTTCAAAACTAACATAATCTATCAAAAGTCATTTTTCTCTTTAGAATTTAGATGAACTCCAGCCGACACCTAATACAGTCTTGAGCCGCCGACACCGCACATTTCTTTTTCAGATTTTTCACTCCTCTTGAAAGTTGAATTGAAATTCATTATATTAAATCGCAGACAAAGAGATCCTAGACCTTCAGTAAAAATATTAGCTACGATAAAGTTTTAGATCAATAATTTTTTTGGAGCAAATTAAGATAAGAATCTGAAATTAAATGCATTTCGTAACATCATACAAATGCAAACTTGTGTAATTATTATGTTTATATTATAAGTAATTGCTTTATTATTGTGGTTGGTCATTCTCTTTGTCTAATCAGTTTCATTTTTTTCAGATATAATGATCATAAAATCTCATTTGGACATCATTATATTTTTTGGGCCTTATATCTAGTTTAGTAGACTTGTATCGTAACATTATTGTATCGTCATTAGCCTAAAAAGGTGAACAAAAATGGAAAAAAACTATATTTTAGTTTACTGTGATTTCAATTTGATTTAGTTGTTATTTAAATTTATAGTAGATATATTTGGCCCCTGTTTGAGCTTTATTTTTAATATCACCATAAGGAGAAAATTGACCATTGGAGAGGAGGTTAGGTCCCACACATGAAATAGCAGGCCAACAAAAGTGACTGGACTTGTGGGATTGCTGCCCAAATTTATATTTTTTTGTTCTAAAAATTTGGTTCAAACAGGGGCTTAGTTTGCTTTAAATTTATTACTAGTAAAATATAAATATATACTGAATTCAATGAATTAATGACATAAAAGTAAATGAGCAAAAAAATATATAGCAAAACCGACGGTTTAAAATCGGACCAAACAGTTAGATTTAGGTTTGAGTTTTTTTCAAACCATTCAAAATGGTTTGGTCTAAATTTGAGTTTTTCTAAAACCGTTTTTAGTGATTTGGTTTGAACATCTGTAAAAAATCGATAAAATCGGATCACTTACACCCCTAAAATTAAGTACTTCCAAATTTTCAAAAACCATTTAGAAATTTGAACTAGCCGCCTCAAGTTGAATCTATGTGGCATATAATGACCTAGTACGAACATTGGAGGTGGCACTAGGATAACCAAAATGTCATTACTGGTGAAAACAAAATAAGTCTCTTTGTATGGGCGAATGCTCTAGTATCAAGCCTCCTCAAGCTCCATTGATGCGAGGAACCTTTGTGTTCGACCTTACATTTGAACCCAAAAACTTAAGGATCAATTGGGCCTCAAACGAGCCCAAAGCAATCGAAGTCACAGAAGGCAAATGGATATCATGTCTCCTCAAAGGAAAGTTTAGAAATATCTTATTAACCATGTGGTAGCATGAGGAGAATGTCACATGCCAAAAATATTTAGAAGAGCATGTTTGACGATGATTTAACCTATGTTTTGACTTAATGCAAGAGCTATGTATCATAGAATCATCTAAATTTGTAATTTGTTGTGGGCTCGCCAATGGTCGCCTGTACAATTAATGCCCTCTAAACATCTATAAATGCCCCCATAATTCTATAAAGAAAAATAAGTAATATCATAAGCCCTAGCCAAATTCTAGTCTTCATGTTCCAAGTCTTTAATTGACGAAGGTCGTCATTATACATTAGCTCCTCGGAGCTCTGGCAATCGATAAAAGACTTAAGAAAGGGATTAAACTAGGAGGTACTTGAGGGACTTGTTGGCTTCAACTTCTTGGGGTCCACAAGTTGCGTCGTCTAGAAGAAATGATACAGTTTTAATAAGTGAAAATTATTGGAGAAAGCATTAGAAGTTGAAGTTGTTTTTAAAAAAATCAGCAAAAATGAGTGAGATTAATGAGAAAGGCATTGAGAATGAGGATGATGTACGTTGTACCTACAAGAAATTTTATATCCTACATATATAAAAGAGTGAATGAATGGGCTGGACACGTGTTAAAAATATGCATCGTCTTGTACGAATTTCCCTCTTTTGTTTTCATTTTTTTTTTACACAAAATTAGTAAAATCACGATTTTTCGACACATCCATGCCTTCACCTTTTCTCAATTCACATCAATCTGACAAAGAAACACCATTTCTCCATTTTTCTACACTACTGACTATGCCTTTTCAACAAATCCGCCATTCCAAACAAGAAGGCTCTTACAGAAAGTATCAACGAAACTATCGAAAGCTTGAAGAAGAAGAATTTTTTTAGGCTCGTTTGTAAGTTGAGTGTCCAATGTTATGGTTCTAAAAAAATTTACAGAATAATCCATAAATGTTGTTTATCAATCACTAAGTGTGTGCTATACGTGATTTATCTTCATCTGATTTTGAATTAAGCATCATTTTTCTTAAATTTTCTTTGATTATTGTGTTTCATTTTAGGTTTTCATAAACGAGGATGGTATTAGTTTTGTTCAAAATAGCTTGAGATGATGGTGAATTATAGCTTCTGAGATAATTTTGTAAGAACTATACTATTGAAATTAATTTCTCTTACTTAGAAATTATTCAATGGCGTAATATGCTTGTAAATTTCACACTTGCTTTCGTATTAAAGGGGTACAGAAGGCCAATCCTGAAGATTGAATAGTAATTATTGAACAAGATCAGGAGAAAGGGATCGACAGTGCCGGTTTTGGTTGGACTCAAAGAAGGAGATTCGTTTGGGGTAAAATTCGTCTCTAGAGTAATTAGTCCAATAACCAAGTGTGTGCTCTTCTTCCACTTCACTTTAAACTTTAAATTTTTAAATTTCTTTTTTCTTGCATATTTCATGGAAAACGTGTGTCTTCTTAGGTCTAGAAATAGTGGAAAGTTTGTGGATTTTGTGCATGTTTTATCAGGTAGAGTGCATGGACGATGTTGAGAAACAAAAAAAATAGTCTATAATTTTGTTTATATATGATGAACTTTTGTAGAATTTAGAGCAACTCACTTCTTCGTGCAGCAATTTTTGGAGAATTTTTTTCCTTTTTTTTTTCAATTTTAAATGGATTAATTGTAATTTTTATTTATCAAATTTTAAATGGATTAATTTGCCGTAGTTTCGTGCTAGCAAAGAGTCCTTAAAATTCATCAAAATGTAATAACTTAAAATAGAGAATTTCTCCATCCTGAATAGAGAAAACCTCCATCCCGATGGAGATTTGATGGAACTCCATCCACTTTCTCCATTCTGGATGGAGAGATTCTCTAAATCTCCATCTAAGATGGAGATGGAGAGATTCTTTTATTTTTCGTTTTTTTTTCCTGTTTTTTCTCATTTTTGTTTTTAATTTGTTTTGTTCATGTTATAAATATTATTTTTCGATTTAAAATTCTTTTTAATTCTTTTCTCTTTATGATAAAACTTATTTTTTTTCAATTTTAATTAAATAATATTTATATATTCTTTATTTAATTTTTGTAACATTCTTTGTTTTATTTTTTTATTATATATTTTTTGAATTTTTTTAAAATTTTTTTTCTTCATATTATAAATAAATTTTTTCTTTGATTTAAGTTTTTTAATTATTTTTGTTTTATGATTAAACGTAATTTTTTCAATTTTAATTAAAAAATAATATTTATTTTTAAGTTTAATTATTTCAATTTAATTTAGAAACTTTATAATAATTTTTTTTTCTACTTTTGTTTGCAATTCTTTTTTTCGCTTTTTTATTTATTAAATCATTTAGTTTTTTTTTTTTATATTAGTATTGCATTGGATAAAGTGAAGTGATGCAAGAAAATCAAGAAATATTGCAATAGAGGCGATAGTTGCAGTTAGGGATGTCAATGAACCGAGTCGAGCCTGCTCGCGAGTCGAAACTGAAGGCTCGACCTTGTCTTCAGTAAAATCAAACGAACTTTTTTCGAACCTGAGCCTAGCAAAAACTTGGCCAAAAAAACAAGACTCGACCTGAACTTTTGGCTTGAGCCTTAGCAAGTCGGGCCAACTCGATACTCTCTCACTCTTTTTTTTTTTGCTGCCTTTCTTAAGGCAGTAGCCAGCTGCTACCTTATTAAAATAAGATTAAGACAGCAAGTTGCCTTAAAAAATGCAATTGCTTTAAAAATAAGACAACGCTTGTGGCCTCTTTCTCCTTTTTTTTTTTTTTTTTTTTTTTTTTTAAATAAGGCTCGAGCTGACGAGCCACATGAGTCAGCTCGGGCTAAGCCTGGAACCTCAAAATGGGGCTTGACCCGAGCCGGCTCAGGCTTTTCCAGGGCGGAGCTACTGGCAGCCTGAGCCGATGAGGGCATTTGGCATCCTTAGTTGTAGTGAAGTGACGTGTGAAAATGAAGAAACAATTGAAGACAACACGACGTTGTTTTTGTTTCCACGATGAAAAAAATTGAAATTTTTTTTAATTCTTTTCTCTTTATAATAAAACTTAATTTTTTCAATTTTAATTAAATAATATTTATATACTCTTTACTTAATTTTGGTAACTTTCTTTTGTTTAATTTATTTTGTTTTTATTATATTTTTCGAAATTTATTTAAATTTTTTTTCTTCATATTATAAACAATTTTTTGTACGATTAAATTTTATTTTTTTAATTAAACTTTGAAAAGTTTGAAGAGTTTTCTCCCTTTATGGTTATGCCCATATCTACATTATTTTATAATGTTCTAATTACCTTTTTGCAATCTTACAGTCAAGCTCCAATGACAACAAAATCAAGTCCTTGAAAGAATGTCGATACATGAAATTGCATTAAACATTTTAAGCTATAATTTAAGATTCTGCATGGTACTTGTCAATATGAAAAATAATTTTTAATGCAATAGTGTAGATATTGTTATGTTGTATATCTTGGTAATAATTAACTATTATAATCATAGTATGAATTGGGGGCAATGCTTGAGTGGACTAAATCATATTTTAGGCTCAGCTAATATGGAGAGAAATATATTCAATATAACAAATTTTCCCACAAACTTTTGTACAGGAAAATGCCTTGTACTAATATATACAAATTCTCAAATATTCTTCTGAAGAATAAAAAATATGCAGAGAAAATTGACTGACTAAAAGTAAGTCAATTTCAAGGAATTTATGAAGACCATTCAAATTTTTAGATGAACACGTTCACTCACTAGCAATCATATAACAGCATATTGTACTACAAATACTACTCTTTGCATTATAGTTGAACATTTACTTATGTCCTCCTTTAAATATCATAATATTCATGGCTTCTTTCCTCCATAACTTTTATTTATGATCAAATACCATCAAAACAAGGTTCATTGAGGCTAAAAATACCAAATGCAAGGCACTGAACTTAGGCTCGGATTGGAATGTCAATACATGAGAACCAACACACTGAGCATGTGCAGGGCCGGTCCTATGATTGTCGGGGCCCGAGGCAAAGTCTAAAAATTGGCCCCCCCCCTCTCGAAATCATCGTAAATGCAATGGATGGAAAAAAAAAAAAAAAAATATATATATATATATAGTTGGGTAATTGGACTATGGCTAAGGGCATTGGATTGGATTTGGGCTTGAAGTTGTGGGCTGCATTTCTGTATCATTGGGTCTGGTTCAAGTTCAATTAAAAAAAAAAAAAAAAATTAAATTTCTGGGCCCAAAGTGAGGCCCCCCAAGATGTTGGGCCTGAGGATAGGCCTCATTTGCCTAGCCCCAGGATCGGACCTGAGCATGTGGAAAACTAGAGTGTCAAGATTTTGTCGGTTCTAACATTTGAATTAAATTTGTTATCCACCAATAAATTAATGTAATATATCATCAGTGCTTAGTATAAGATGAGTACCAATGCTCATTAGATCATTCCTCTATATAACAAGACCAAAAATTAGAGGGGTTAAGTGAGAAATAAACACTGCACGGCATATTCCAATGTCCAAACGATGCCGTATAACGGGTCTCCTGAATCCCTTAATGCTAATGGGTTTCCAGTGTTGATAATATTACTCCAGGCTGAACTCTTTCTTATAAGGCGATCATCCCCAATCCTTACAGTTTTCGCCGGCGACTCGAAACCTGAACTCTTTCCGAGTTAAAATGTCATGGTTTGCCCGATCAATATCCAATACGCTCAAATTTGACGACAACGACGATGAAGTCAGCACCGGCAACAAACCCAAACCGGAAAACGTCCTCCAAGACGACGATGTTTCATCTCCAATATCTCCGTCTCGAGGCGTCAAGGATGACTTCTCGGAACTCACCAAAACCCTCAAGAGCCAATTATGGGGCGTCGCCTCATTTCTAGCCCCACAGCCACAGCTCGATCCGAATAAATCATCACAGGATCAGGATCCAGATCCGGATCCGGATGCGACATCTGGGATTCAGACTGATTTAGCGGAGATCGGGGGAAGGTTCAGGAACGGAATTTCGAAGCTGTCGAATAACATCAACGTGTCGGAAATTACCAAAATGGCTTCGAATTTCCTGCAATTGGAATCTGACGATGAAATTGAAAAGGAAGGTATGCTGTGCTAATCATTTCATCTTCCAGCTCAAGATGTTGGAGAACTGCTAACTTATTCATTTAAATCTTGTTCTGGATAGGTAGTGCAGAGGATTTTAATTCGGCTAGGAAAAAAGTGGTTGGTGTGACTGAGGAAGTGGTGACTTTCGCCAGTGATATTGCGATGCATTCCAAAACTTGGTTGGATTTCCCATTGCCGGAAAATGATGGTATGAAAATTGCTGTCTTTTTACCCTTTTTGCTAATGGTTTTATATATTTATTTTTATTTAGTAGAATTTATGAATGTTCACCTCCTAGTTGTCAGTGGGATAATGACTGAATTATAAATAATTGGATTCCTTTTGTTGTGTATCTGATTGATGATCGTTCAATGATGACATTATCTTTCAAATAAATGTTTAACAAATTGAATTCTGATTCTCTTAGATACTGTACTAAGAAATCAATAAATGTAAAGTGAGACATTATCGAACAAATGGACACAGTAAGAAACTTCTATGACATTGGAGTTTAAGTTAGCAACTAGTAGATCTAAGACTCGTATAAGACCATGGATTTGAATTTAGTTCCACTTCTTTTGGTTTTGTGTCATGCTATCTCTTTCATTCGTTTGTTGTTTTATTTCATCTGTGATCTAATATTTGGTGTGTGTGTGTGTCTATATATATATATATATAGCTGATCTTGTTATGGAAAGCAATTTGCTCAAAAAGACCTTTGGGTCCTTGGTTGTTTGCAATTATTTTTTGTTAGAGAAAACCGGTCTTTAGTGCTCAAGACTTTTGTTAACTTCGAAAGTATTTAAATGGTGAGTTATGATAGAAATTTTCTATAACTCAGGAAATGGAAATTCATTACGGCAGAGTCTTGATTTTTTTTTCTTGACACTAGATTTTGACATGTCCGATGCCCAACAAGAACATGCCTTAGCTGTTGAGTATCTTGTCCCAAGATTATCTGCTTTGAGGTTTGAGCTATGCCCAGGATACATGAGTGAAAGTTGCTTCTGGAAGATCTATTTTGTACTCCTGCACCCTCGATTGGATAAAGAGGATGCTGAGATTTTATCAACATCCCAGGTCTCTTCTTCTTCTTGCAATTACCATACTCAATTAAAAGATAATCTATGCTTAGTATCTTGGATCTGGTTAGACAATAATGATGATGTGCATTGCTTCTTATGTTTCTTGTGTTCTCAGATTGCAATTGCTAAACATTTTTGTCCTATAAAATTTTCTCTGATCATATATATTTTGCTTTTCTACAAGTGCATTTGGCATGTTTTGTCGTCATTTTAATATAACCAAAAAGTAGTATAGAGCAAACAACCTGGACATTATCATCAATCCTTCAGCTCTGTCTATGATAATCTGGTACATATCTCAACCTGGATTTGCATGTACATCCATCCGAACAATTCCTATAGATTGTTTAGTTGACTTCATGAGTATTTAGTGCTCAAAGGGATCCATTTTAGCTTCGTTTCTTTTAATCACGCCCTCCCCTCACCCCCACACACACGCACACAAAAAAGTAAGTACATATGAATAGGTCAACAACCTGACCATTCATTCTGCTATGTCTATATGATAATCTGGTACATTTCTCAACCTTGATTAACATGCACATCTTTATGAACAATTCCTATAGGTTGTTTGGTCGACTTCATGAGTATTTTAGTGCACAAGCAGACCCTTTTTAGCTCCGTTTGCCTTCCTTATTTTGGTCTATATTTGGGTCATGTTTATAAACTATTTATGAATACTCAGGCCACTTCTTATTAAAACACTTTGAGGGATCCTCCACCACTCATTTATATCTATTTATAATTTAAATTGTTTATAAGAACTTCCCAAACATGCTTTTACTTTATCTATTTTTTTGGGGTGGGTGAGGAGACAGTGCTAGTGTATGGTGGAAGCTCATTACGCATTTTATGAAAACTGAATTGCAGTAGTGCATGTACAGTTGGTAGCGAAGACCATATGATCAGATACACTAGGACCATATGAGCAGATGCACTGAAATGTAAAGGAAGAATTGTTTTATATCTCATCTTGAAATATAAGTGAAAAACAACGTCATTCTGTATATTTATTGCAAGTACTTATCATCTAATTTCATAAGGGATCTTACCTAATTAGTACTCAACTGAAAAGTAGTGATCCAAGTCTTACATACCAAGAACTATTTTAAGCAACAGCATTTCTGCACTGGGTCTGAACAAACTTTAGTCATTGTTACCGTGTTTCTATAAGGATGTGTATTAAAGTGCTTGGCCCTTGACATTTTTACCTCGATATCATTCCATTACATGCCATTTACATAACTGTTTGTCAAATTCTTCCCATTTCCTTTTTTTTTTTCATGACTCATTTAATTGTTTCTTGTTTTTGATGTGTCTTAAGTCAATGGACAAGGCAAAGAATATTTATCCCTAAAATTACTCTCAAATTAAATAAATAGCTGGGTGTTGTCTGTAAGCCACTGATGAGTATTGGGGTTAGTTGCCATTATATTTGATTTGATAAGGTTTCATTACAATTGCCCCCTAGGATAAATGGCTTGTCAATGAATATGCTGTTATTACTTGTACTCTAATTTTTGCATTCACCTAATTATGAACTCCATGCTAGGCTTTTCCTTTCTCCTTTTGCAACGAAGTCATTGACCTCCATTACTGTCATGCCATGCAGATAATAAAAGCCAGAAGCTTGCTTGCACAGGAGTCAAAGAACCAGACACCAACAAAACTAAAAGACTTCCCTGAAAACGGATCTTCTGATCCAAAAGACAGCACCGCCCCTTCTCATGACGACTCCCTCTATGCGTCATCTTTCGTTCCTTCTGAAAATGAGCATGAAAAAGCATCTGCCCTTGAATTAAGCACTTCCACTATAGCTTCTGCTTCTGAAATAGTGAAGCACCCAGTTGAGAGCGTTAAAATTCCAATTGTTGACAAATCGGTGATTGAAGAAGAGGTTATTGACCAAGTTAAGGATCAAAACTTGATATCTGGTCCCTCTAAAGTTTTGGAAGCGAAGGATGAGGAACAGGATGATGGTGATGACTGGTTAAAAGAAGAAAGTTCTGAAATTGGTGGTGCCAGTGGAACCACCATCCCCATTGAGAATGAGGATGATGTGTCGTTTAGTGATCTTGAAGAAGATGATGGAGATGTGCCTGCCAGTTCCAGGAAAACAAATTACAGTTTTGATAAAGACTCACGAGACTGGTTAGATGTTGAAGAAATTGATGTGTCGTGATTCATTGCGTAACCCTTGTACGGCCAATTTAATTTCCTATTGTCAGTTCAGTAGAGTTGATCGTTATTTCTTGCATTCAGGGCTTTGCAAATGGTACGTTTGTACATAAACCTCATAGTGAATAAAGCCTGGATTATTATCTTACTATGAAATACTTATTAAAATGCTATATAGATTCAGAAGAGCATTGTAAATGTTTGGCAATATTCAGATGATGTTATGTTGATAATCCTCTCATTTCCAATTTGATCACTGGTGCTGATTGAATAATCAAATTGAAGTGATACAGTTGCATTTTCCTGGAATATTGTTTTGCAAAATGTTTTCTGGTGAACTCGGAAATGTGCATTGAGAGAGTAAATGTTTGCAAAAAAGGATCAAACTTTGCAGATTCCAGGTACTACTTTTTCTTGAAGAGAGAAGCAAAGAAGAGACGCATTGTTTATTTACGTGCTCATTTTCTGTAGGGGCTGCTGCTGGCTCTTAATATTTACAGATGAGTGAGAAACTTGTTCGCTAATTGGTATTTATAGGTGAATCAAGCCCTTTGTCCATGAGAACTTTAGGATTTTATGGGTTTGAAATTGCTCGAAATTCTCTCAAGGTGTGACCACAACAAGCTTCCCAGAGTAAACCTCGGCCTTTCTTGTATTTCGGTACTGTTGCTCCTACTTGTTCTGGACGAGGCAGCCCATGAAGCTGTGCTCAAAGATTTGTTTACCACTACAACAGAGCTTCCAATTTCTCGTCTCACCGTTTCAAGTGTTTCTGGATCGGCATTTTGTCCCGAAGTATCTTTTACATAGAATGTGCCAGCTGCTCTTCCACCACGGGTACCAATCTCAGCCCTTGTTATAGACAATCCGTTTTCTCGTAATACTCGAGTTATATCCGATAATAGTCCTGTCCTGTTTTCTGTGCAAATGTCTAGTCTTAATCCCTGCACAAATATGTAGAATTGTGAATCCTTAATTTTTCTTGTTTACTAGTTGGAGATAAATTTAAGTTTCTGTAACATACATGAGAAATCCTCCTTTCTGTAGCTGCTATCAAACGCTGGATAACCAATTGCTTTTCATCATCTGAATCCAAAGGGTGTCCACTTTTGTGCTTCACATAGTATTCCTGGGATTTTCAGAAATTTAAGATTAGAAACAAAGAATGCACTCCCAGAATCTGCGTAGATATTATGATGTGTTTTTACCTGTACAGCTATAAATTCCTTGGAGCGAATAGCTGCATGGAATACTATGTATTGCATGTCAGTCAGAGTATAAATTGTGTCGAACAATAACTTGGGTCGATCTCGACTCCTCACGGTGACGATCGAGTAGCCCGTTTCTTTACATTTCTCTATTTTCACGTGCGTGCCATAGCATTCTTTCTTCTTTGCCTTGTAATGCCTTCCTGGCCCATATACATCATCGTCATCACTGTCATCATTACTACCACAACAAGAACAACATGTCTTGTAGTCTTCATCGGCCGCCATTAATTGGTGCAGCCGCCTTTCCGTGTGGGTTTGGCCTGGAGCTGGTGCTGTCCACCTTACACTTCGTCTCTCGTTATCGTAGTGGTGGGCTTCGACAACGTTCTCCAACTGGGCCTGAACCTGGGCCACACGACACGGGTCCCTGATTGGCTCACCATTAGAAGCATCCTCCACGTAGATAATGCACGCTGCTCGGCTCTTATGAGTCCATGCCATGGCAGCAGATACGCGACAGCCCAACTCAGCCAACACAGCCGACATCTCCGACATTAAACCTGGTCGATCCATCCCTGTCATCTCTAGGGCCGTGTTCTCTATTGACATCAGTGTTGGCCTCGTCTCTTCACCAATACTTGGTCTAGCCCTCCTAATCACACAAATTCCCTATAATAAACATAACAAAATCAACAACAAAAGTCGCAAAAATGACAGTTGGGATAATACTGGAAAGTGCGGTTTTAATACTTTCCATACGTAATCCTTTCTATAGACGTTGTGACAAGAGGAAAGCTGGCATTAAGAGAGAGATACAAACCTCTTGTATGTATTGAATGAGGCTTTCATCAGTTATTTTGTTCATTTGTTGGTCAGTCACGTGGAATACTGCAAACCATGCAATTAATACCATTGCACATGAATACAAACCCAAAAAGTTATTCATTGCTGACTTGTATACACGTAGGATTTATAATTTTATATTTAAAAAATTATTTTTTTTAATAAGAAATAATTAATTAATTTCTCACCATCCATTAACCAACCACCATCAGAAGAGATGTATGATTTGGAAATCACGAGTTCAAGATCTGTTAGAACTTGGACGATTTCTAGCAGCATCCCGTGCTTATTTGCACTATCAACCTGTCACCAAAAGTTAGGCAGATTCATTGCTGACTTGTATACACGTAGGATTTATAATTTTATATTTAAAAAATTATTTTTTTTAATAAGAAATAATTAATTAATTTCTCACCATCCATTAACCAACCACCATCAGAAGAGATGTATGATTTGGAAATCACGAGTTCAAGATCTGTTAGAACTTGGACGATTTCTAGCAGCATCCCGTGCTTATTTGCACTATCAACCTGTCACCAAAAGTTAGGCAGATTAATTAAAAATAGAAAAATTAATAACATAATATTCGTAAAAGGTTTTTTGTACAGTCAGAGGTCATTTTCTTGCACCCTGTTTGGACCGTCATTGTTAAACATTATAATCCTATAAACTAGTGTTTTTTTTTTTTTTTTAATTCAAGATTCAATGGTCGAACTTGTTTACACAAAACTTTTCTTACAATATATACGAAAGAGTTATATGGACTGGTGGGAATCATGGATCGAGTAAAATACATATCTTGGTACTGTGTGTATGGGTTTAAACCAATAAGAGAAAAGCCTCCTTAGCCAAAAAAAATGAATGATAGAGGCCTTGACAGCCTCTCACAAGCTGCGGGCCCTACAAGAATAAACAATTCCAAAAAAAAAATGTGGCCACCGCCCCTATTGTGAGTGTCGGTCAGAACCTTTATCGTTTGGCTTTTTTTTTTTTTTTTTTTTTTTTTATTATTATTACTTTTTCAATGTTGTGCGGTTGAACCAATATAATTGGGTTAGTGATTTTTAAATATATATTTTGTCATTAAGAGCACCTCCAATGATGGTGTAAAATTGAGTATAAATTGATAGCTTCAAAATTACTTTTGCATCCTCATTTACATCTTGATGGATCTAAATCCAAATTCATCAAATTCACTTTTTGCCTCTTATAGATGTAAAAAAAAGATGTAAACTTATATATTTTTTCACATTAATTTTCAACCGGAAAATGCAATTTGCATATCCTTTGCTTCTCTCCATTTGACACTTTGAAAACCCAAATCGAAAACCCAAATCTCTATTTTACTCTACCATTGAAGATGCTCTAGCTACGTCAATTCTTTACAAAAAACTTTAGTAACTTATCTAGTTCTTGAAGTGGGCATTGTGTGGATTCTACGTTATGCAGGCTATATTGGCAGGAACTTTAGTTGAACATCGTTGTATGCCACACGATAAAATCATTCATTCAAATTACGATTCTTCAGATCTCGAATCACCCAAGTCACGATACTCTGGACACTGAGTAGATTTAAAGTACCGTGACTTGAGTTGTTCAAAACCTCATGCCTCTTGATTTGAATGGACAATTTTATAACATAGTTTATAGAATCGTATTACTTTCTGAAAAAGTAGGGTAGGATTATGGGATCCTTACAAATTCTGGTAAAATGCTATATGAATTCAAAGCTGTTAGCCTCAATCTGTGGGTCCAAAAACAGGCCAAACCAATTTGCAGAAAAACCTTAATGCTGTCCAGATTTAAAACTTGATCCACTGTCTACTTCAAATTTATCGAGAATTAAATTCAGTCTGTAGTTGCACAGAGGCCTCAAAAGAAAGAAAAATTAAATAACACAAAAGTGATCTTTGACTGTTGAGGTTCTGAGGTTTCGATTACTAACCTTGACAAGAGTGCAGTCTCGATAAGTATCATTGTCAATACAAACCCTAAAAACCCAGAAAAAGAGAACATGCAACGCATAATTAAAAAAGAAAAAGAAAAAAAAGGAACGTTGTAAGAACCACATGATCATTTAAATTAAATGCTAATGAAAGCTAGAATTACAAACCTTGGTGGATGTATTCTTTCAATTAGTACTTCGAAATCGGGATCAATGTAAGGCCGGTAAGTAATATCCATCTTCAATTTGTTTTTTCGAATTTTTTAGAGAGATTCTGAAGAAGAAATAAGCAAATTAAACCAATTTAAGCAACTTTAAATAGATATGTATGACTTGTAAACGCGTGGAAAATTCATGAAATACAACTATACAAGAAGATAAGCTAGAGCTGGTTTTCTTGTTTTTTACGCCAATTTTCAGGGGAGTGTGTATATATCCAAGTTTATCCCCGTAGAATTTTCTTCGAATTGAGATAAGGTTTCTGAAATTTTAAGGAAACACATTTGAGGGGAATCAAAACTTGTTCCAATTGACCAGAATTCTGTCGAGTAAAATATTTTTTCTCAGTCTGAAAAATCAAAACTGGGATCTCAAGCAAAAACGAAAGTGAGGGTTTTCTTGAAGATAAAAAGAGATTACAATCGGGAATAAGTACTTTTTAAAATGATCTAAATCTTTATAACAAGAATTCATTAAACAAAGATGAAAAAGCTTGATTGAAATGATTTAATCGTAAAGATTAACAATGAATTACCTAGCAAAAGAAAGCTCCTTTCAAGATTGAAACCAAGGTGGCTATATACGCTAGTTAATTAGTTAAATTTCTTGGCACCAGATGCGGAAGGGAAGGGGGGGGGGGTTAGGTGGGGTGCTGAGAGAACAAGAAACATACAGCTCCCAAAGCCCAGAAATATACATACATGTGTGTATATGTATAGAGAGAGAAAGTGGTGTTTATATTGATTGGCCCTGATGCGTTTTAGGACGGCCGATTCAAGATTTACCATGGTCAAAAAGCATGTGAAATCTGAGCAAAGCTGATGTTACAGACACATTTGGAGTAGATAGCGGCCACCTGTGAACTGAAAAATGACGTGGCATTTAACGCGGCGGCTCGAATTCTCAGGATCTGACACGTCGATGTTAATCAAAGCCTGTGGCCGCGAATCAATATCGGAAAGTACGTGGTGAGAATTTATCCATAAACTTGTCATTTTAGTTTTGCGAAGTCAAAAGAATTAATTAATCATTTATTTA